TAGTCAATGTTTACACTTTACCCAATTGAAATTCAGTAGAAACTCCCAAGTAATGAAAGCAGCCACTAACCTCAAAGTCATTCAACTACTCCTTCAAAAAATTTGGGTCTTCTTTTAGTCCCAAATCCAAAGTAGAAGTTGGAAATTTTGTGATTTCCACAAAGACTTTGGTCAACTCTTGCTTTAGTCATAACTTATAAGATCAATTCAACCTCTTAGTCCCACCTAAGTACCTAGAAAATGACTTTGAAGAAAATAGTATGGTAATTAATAATTAAGTGGGGGAAAAACCTTAGCTAAATATCATAGTAAATAAGAAATCAACAATCATTCATTGCAATATTTGTTGATAATATCCACATCATATCAAACGAATTGATATATATAAATTCACGTATCTATTTAGATAAAAGGAACAATACCTATCTATCTTATATCTTAAGAATTAATAGGAAAATTATAATAAAACTACATTATTTTAATAAACTCACATTAAAAATAACTAAAATACATTCTTTTTAAAGCACTTACTAGAGTGGTTTCTATTATTTCTCTTAGTGTTTTATTAAAATAATATAGTTTTAAGATAAAATAAGGTAGGTAGGCACCAACTTCTTAAATAAATATCATAAGTAGTAAATAAGAGATAGACAATGATGCAATGACAATAATAACATGATACTAAATAAATAGAAGTATATAAAAAAAGGCATAGTTTTTTTTTTTTTAATCTAATTTATCATTATTTATAATTTGATATTGTTGTGGGCCTAAAAGGCCTCCAAAAGTTAAGATCTAGTGGGCTAATGATGCCCCATTTACTTATTCTTCTGTCTTCCAAAACATCCAATAAAGACAAAAAAAACAACCCTTACAAACTTAGTCTGGTACTAAGCCCAAAAGAAGCGTGGGCCAATTGAGGCCTAGAAAAAAGGGGCTTAACCCCAAAAACCAATAGTTATATATAATCTGCATATAAGCTAGTCTCTACTCGCTAGGGTTTTCTGTTCTCCACGGAGTTTCTGCTCTACCGCCTCAAACTGCTCAGGTACGTCGCTCTTCCCTTCCACCCCTTCTTCACCGCCCTTCCACCGTCAAATTCTAGTTAGGGAACAGTCTGGGTGGTATTGTTGTTGTTGTTGTTGTTGTTGTTGTTATCAAAGTCGAATGTATTCGAGCGAATTATTGCGAGTAGCGATTGGGGTTTTGGTTTTCTTTCTGGATTTTGGGTCGATTTTTTTGAATCTCAGAGTTCTGAGCAGCCATGTAATTTGATTTTATTTATCTTCTGAATTCGGTTCTTGGATTTAAGTTCGTGAATACGTCCTGGGATTTTGGAATTTATGAATTTTATGCTAATGTGTTGAAGGGGCTTGAAAACCATGTGCAATTCGACGCATCACTGATTGTTATGTTTATTGTTTGTGTATAGAATTTGCTTGTTTATGGTGTTGATTATTTTCTTCGTCTTTGTGTGGCAGAATCCAAGAGTGTGTTTGAATCTCTAACTTTAACTCATTCAGAAGGATGGGATCGCGATTCTGGACTCAGGTTTGAGAATCTTTCTTTGTTACCCATTAATCCTTTTTGGGTTTTGGGATTAGGTTGACATTCCAGATGTGTTTCTTTGATTGAACTTTGTGCTAAGTAAGTTTTCAATCTCTTTTTAATAGGGTGGCAGTGACACTGAGGAAGAGGAGAGTGATTATGAATCTGAGGTTGAAAGTGGGGCAGCTGGGGAGTCTGCTGCCCCGACTGCTAGAAGCAGATATCTTGAGGGAAATGCGAGTGACTCAGATGACTCTGATGGGCAAAAGCGTGTTGTCAGGTCTGCCAAGGACAAGAGATTTGAGGAAATGAATGCTACAGTTGACCAGATGAAGAATGCTATGAAGATTAATGATTGGGTTAGCCTGCAAGAGAGTTTTGACAAGATAAATAAGCAGCTTGAGAAGGTGATGCGTGTAACAGAGTCTGACCGTGTTCCCAATCTTTACATCAAGGCTCTTGTGACGTTGGAAGATTTCCTAAGTCAAGCTCTAGCAAATAAGGATGCAAAAAAGAAGATGAGTAGTAGCAATGCCAAGGCCTTGAATTCAATGAAACAGAAGCTAAAGAAGAACAATAAACAGTATGAAGACCTGATTAATAAGTACAGGGAACATCCTGAGAGTGAGGAGGAGAAGGAAGAAGATGAGGAATCCGAGGAGGATGAGGAAGAGGAATCGGAGTTTGAGGAGGATCCCACCAAGATTGCTGAGTCTGAAAATGATGAAGAAGGTGAAGAAGAGGAAGAAAGGGATGATGATACTGATCGCCATGGAGGTTGGGAGAGGAAGATGAGCAAGAAAGATGAACTAATTAAGAAGCAGTTCATGAAAGACCCAAGTGAGATCACCTGGGATACAGTTAACAAAAAATTTAAAGAGGTTGTGGCTGCTAGGGGCAGGAAGGGAACTGGGAGGTTTGAGCAAGTTGAGCAGCTTACTTTCCTGACAAAGGTTGCCAAGACTCCTGCCCAGAAGCTTGAGATACTGTTTAGTGTCATCTCCGCTCAATTTGATGTTAATCCAGGTCTTACTGGCCACATGCCAATAAATGTGTGGAAGAAGTGTGTGTATAATATGCTGGGTATACTAGATATTCTGACTCAGCATCGCAACATTGTGGTAGATGACATGGTTGAGCCTGATGAGAATGAAAGTCAGAAGGGTGCTGATTACAATGGCACGATTCGTGTTTGGGGGAACTTGGTTGCCTTCGTAGAGAGAGTAGATAATGAGTTCTTTAAGAGCTTGCAGTGCATCGATCCTCATACTCGTGATTATGTTGAAAGGCTAAGGGATGAACCTATGTTTTTGGTTCTTGCACAAGATGTCCAGGAATATTTGGAGAGTATTGGGGATTTCAAAGCTGCTGCGAAGGTTGCTCTGAGGCGTGTTGAGCTCATCTATTATAAGCCTCAAGAGGTGTATGATGCTATGAGAAAATTGTCTGAACAATCAGTAGATGGGGAAAATGCTGGTGATGAGCCAAAAGTGGAGGAAACTCGTGGACCATCTGCTTTTGTCGTAACTCCAGAGCTTGTTCCAAGGAAGCCCACCTTTTTTGAAAATAGCAGGACAATGATGGATTTGCTGGTGTCCCTTATATACAAACATGGAGATGAGCGCACCAAAGCCCGTGCATTGCTTTGTGATATTTACCACCATGCGCTTCTGGATGAGTTCGCAACTGCTCGTGATTTGCTGTTGATGAGTCACTTGCAGGACAATATTCAGCATATGGATATTTCAACCCAGATACTGTTCAACAGGGCCATGGCACAGCTTGGTCTCTGTGCATTTCGAATTGGACTAATTGCAGAAGGACATAGCTGCCTTTCTGAATTATATTCTGGTGGGAGAGTGAAGGAGTTGCTTGCACAAGGTGTCTCACAAAGTCGATACCATGAGAAAACCCCAGAACAGGTATGAGGTTTTGTGCATTTTTTGTCATAACTTTTGTTACAATTTTATGCTTAACTTTTCCTTTACAGGTATAGTGACCTTGTGATTTCCCTCTTATCTAACCAATGTATGGTTTCCTAAGAAACTACTTATTTCTTTGGCTGAGTTTACTAGTGAAATCAAGCTGGTATTTAGGCATTTATTCATTTTCTATTTATGGTTCCATAAGAAATACTTACAGATTTCTTTATTTTAGCTATAGCATCTTATCAAGTGATTCTGTTCTTTTCTTTTTTTGTTTATAGAGATGATACCATTTTCTTGTTATTAGATGGAATTATTGGAGTAATTTTATATGGTAGGACATCCTATGTTAAATTTTCTTTTCTTGAAATGCTGTGAGTGCCTATTTTGAGTTTTTCCTTCATGGGAATAAAGGCAGTTAATAAAAAATTGTAGCAGCTAGTTTTCACTAAATGTAAATAGTTGTTGAATTATGTCTCTTTTGTCCTTTTTGTATCCTTATCTGTATACTTGTTCAAGGACTTATAGATGTGAATTATTAACTTTTATTAGGAGAGATTGGAAAGGAGGCGTCAAATGCCATACCATATGCACATAAATCTTGAGCTTTTGGAGGCTGTGCATCTGATATGTGCTATGCTCCTTGAGGTGCCTAACATGGCAGCTAACAACCATGATGCCAAACGCAAGGTAATAAGCAAGACATTTAGGAGGTTGCTTGAGGTAAGCGAAAGGCAAACATTCACAGGGCCCCCTGAGAATGTCCGGGATCATGTGATGGCTGCCACCAGGGCCCTTAGTAAGGGAGATTTCCAGAAGGCCTATGATGTCACCACCTCTCTTGATGTTTGGAGGCTCCTTAGGAATCGGGAGAATGTTCTTGAGATGCTGAAAGTCAAGATAAAGGAAGAAGCTTTAAGGACCTACCTCTTTACATACTCTTCTTCCTATGAATCTCTTAGCTTGGATCAGCTCACCAAAATGTTTGACCTGTCAGATGCCCAGGCTCACAGCATTGTTAGCAAGATGATGATTAATGAAGAATTGCATGCAAGTTGGGACCAGCCAACCAGATGTATTGTCTTCCATGATGTCGAATACACAAGGCTACAGGCATTGGCATTCCAATTGACTGAAAAGCTTTCAGTTCTCGCTGAAAGTAATGAGAGGGCTGTAGAGGCAAGGATTGGTGGTGGTGGCCTGGATCTACCTCTCAGGCGGAGAGATAACCAGGATTATGCAGCTGGAACTGCTACTACTGGTGGTAGGTGGCAAGACATGTCTTTCACCCAGGGAAGGCAAGGCACTAGTGGGCGTTCAGGATATGGTGCTGGTGGTGGGAGACAATTGGCTCTAGGACAGGCTGGTGGAGGAGGCTACCGATCTGGTCAGTTGCGAGGAGCAGCTGGATATTCTGGGAGGACTGCTTCGTCAATTAGAGGTTCTCAGATGGATGGTTTGAGCCGCATGGTCAGTCTTAACCGTGGGGTGCGTGCTTAAATTATCATATAGCAGCGATTGAATGGAAGAGGGCAATTTTCAGAATGCTTGGTTTTGTTTATGAAATTGTAGTAGAGCAGACCAGAATGTTGTTTGGCTTTTAAACATTTTTAATTTATTTATCTCCGTAGTTTTGGAATGTCATAGATACTAAACTATGCAACCATATTTATGAAATTTGTTCGATGCATTTTTGCTTCTCACCCATGTGGCCCAGAATTTCTTGTTTTATATTATCTCCTTCCTAGATAGGACACGGATCATATGCCATTTCCGAGTGACTATTAATCAACAGAATTAAGTGGCTCTGAATCATATCAAGTATCCCACGCAAATTTTTAATCCATCCTAAGGTTTATACAAACTTGCAGCCCTTTTCAGCGTGGCTTCAGACACCCAAAAAAAAGAGGGTAAATTCATGAGGTAATTCAGATTGGACGTTGATCATTAGTATAAAAATACTGTCTTCTCGCTAGATTTACAGACATGAAATGGCCGAATGAAGAAAATGAGGTTCCTATTCATTTTTGTTATATTGTAATAAACCTATACAATCAAATACCTGATGTAAGCTTTAAATGGTAGTATTCAGGTGTTTAATCAGGATAACCTGAAAATTCTGGAAAAGTATCTGTTTACAACATGGTTAGGAAAAACTAGAAACGAAGCTATAAATGGTTAGTTACCCAGGAAACCGAATATTTCTTCATTTCATAGGCAGGGCTGGCTGAAAGACCATAACCAAAATGCCTGAACTTAGTTTTCAACTGCCTGAAGTATAGGGTTCGTAGTCTTTGAAGCTTCTTCACTGCTTTTGTTTGTTGCACTTGGTTCAGAATGCCCAGGATTTTCTTCAATATCATTGGGTGTGAGTTCTGTTGCTGTTTCACTTTCTTGTTTTGTTGGACTGAATTCTTGACTATCTTCGTTTTTAACACTAACTTCAACAGATTGAAGTTTTGCTTCAGAATCCTTTGCTGCAGTCTCTTCGACATCTCGACAATCTTTGCTGTTAACACTAGCTTCAACAGATTCAAGTTTTGCTTCAGAATCCTTAGCTGTTGTCTCTCTAGCTTCTTCTTCACTATCTTTGCTTTCGGCACTAACTTCTAGGGACTTAATCTTCTCTTCGACATCCTTGCCTGCAGTCTTTGTGGTCTCTTCATCAATGGCGTCCGTGGTCTGTTCATCAACTGTCTTCAGAGGAGTAATTTCTAAAGGCCCAAGCTTTGCTTCAAGATTCTTGACTCTAGATGTCAAAGATCTTGCATCTCGGGCATCTGCCAAGTTGCCTGTTGATGCCTGTTTCAATAATGGAAGTTTTGCTCACAATTAGATGAGTCTAGAAAGTTAGCTGATATTTCATCTTGATACTAACAAATAGGATCACAACAACGCAACAATACATGAGTGGCAACTTCATGTCCAAAATGACTACCATATTTTTCCTGTTCTCTAATGATCATATGGCAATAGATTTGGCCAAAAAGAAAAGGAAAATGAAAAATATAAGAAGCTTCATTTCATGATCAGATCATGCACTTACTTCAAACTTAAAATCTCAATTTAAAAATATAAGAAGCTTCATTTCATGATCTGATCATGTTCTTCAAACTTAAAATCTCAATTTAACAAGGAAGGTTCTTTCAAATTTCAAAATCTCACATAATTATGAAAAAAGAATGCATCAGGTAACAGTTGGCACTAAATACTATCTACCATCCATCAGGTAAAAGTAAATGACAGTTTTCCTTTCCAAAGTTATGCAGTGCTTAAGCCTATGATAATTAAAAATAAATTGTGTTTCTAACATAAGAAGCAGCATCCATTTAACAGAAATATCAACAACGTTATAAAGCATACACATGGACTAACATCTTTTCTCACCTTTTCTAGTTGCCCTATCCGTCGCTTCAAATCTTCCACAGATGCTTCCTTGTGAATACCTTGAAGAACATATAACAAATGAGAATGCAGGTCCTCACAACGGTGTTTTTCTATCATGCAGGAGGCCACAGCTGATTTGCAACCCACGGCATAGAAAGGACAGTTCACAAGCTTCATTGGACAGACAGTTATGCAGTGCCTATCCATCTCCCGTCTCATGATGCCATCTAAGCACTTCTGCTCGCATGGAATTATCTTGAAAGGACAAATTGAGTCATGCCTCGCCAACTGGTTAGCTGAAAATCTAGCATTACAACCCTCATTTTCACAGGTCATAGATCTAAAGCCACAGACAGGTACATGTTCAGCAAGTTCCTCTGGAGAGTTAAATTTCTTGTCACAGTGAAATGCATTCTTGAAGTCAACATTCTTAACCAAAGTCTGTGCAATTGCTTCTCTCTTGTCCAGCAACCAGAACCCATTAACTTCCATTTCTTGTACAAAATCATCTATTCTGTCTTCTCTCTTTTCACTCAGTAACCATCCCGAAACCCGGCTGAACAAGTTCCTCTTCAAACTTGCAAAGTCATCCACAAAATCAGAAATGATATCAAAAGGATGGTCAGATTTTTCTGCCTCTGGACCACCTTCTAAGACAACAGTTTCAGCCACGAAATTTTCACTTCTCAAGGTCATATCATCCACCATCTCTTTTCTTATATCAGCAGCCACTGAACCAGCAGAGCTGAACAGCCCACCTGCTGTGTTGTCAACACAAGCAGTAGCCAATCCCGGAAGGAACGCTTGTGCTACCTTCCGAACCAACTCTGCATCACAAAGATCACAGTAGAACGAAGGACCTTCCTCCTTCACATCTTCAATCTTCACATCCTCAATCATATCCGGTACAAGTTCCACATTTTGAGTAGCCCGATAATCCGAGCTTGAAGACACCTATACATAAAAATTTCCCACTTAGATCATAAATCCAAGAACCGAATCTGTTGAAACCAATTCTAAATGCTAGATCTTTTCCTAATCAAAAGATAATGAAGAACAAGAAAGAAATGTAGCAACAGAAATTTGAGAAATTGTACCTCCATTGTTGTCCAAATTGAAGCTTCTGCAGATCTGATCCAAGAATTCCGATTAATCAATACAAACCTAAAAGAATCGAGATTTCATGAGCGAATTACAGAGATGAAAAAAACTTTAATGAATCTGTGGAAGGAAAATTTGCGGAATTACCTTTGAAATTGCCGTTTTTTATTCCCTTCCTCTCTTTCAATGTCTGAGATACAAAAGAGCTCCACCTAATATTAGAAAAGCTCCGCCTACAACCGTCCTTTGTTTTAAGGGATGTTTGATTCAAGGAAAACGCGCAAGGGGGGAAATTTTTAGTGTAATCAAATTGAGATTTTAAGGTTTTAATTGAATTGGATGAATAATTTTCCCTCACCTCTCCTTCCTCACAAATTAAAAATATTTATAATTTATTTGTTTCTTCAAGGATTTGTTGGTTTGAGTGGAAAGAACTTGGTTCATTATAAGCAAAATCTCGAGTTTTATTTTTGTAAATAAAAAAACAGACGTTGAAAAAGCTTCCCCAAATAAGATCAAACACAACTCAATTTCGTATTAATTGGATCCAATGTGGTTAGCAAATTCCTAAATGTTAGTACAAAAAAAATAATTTATTTGGTTTAAAAAAATAAGGGAAAAAAAGGGTTAGTACTTGTTCCTCTTATTTTTAAAAAATTAAGCGAGAAAAGAATTAAAAAATATATTAATTCATGTTTTAAAAATAAAATATTTTAATTTTTTTTCAATAGATATTTATTAAAATGATATAATTTTAAAATAATATTTTTTTAATCTTTAAAAAATAAAATAAATAAACACTGTTTTTTTATCTAATAAAAAAAAAGTTTTGTAATTTAGTATTGTATTAGAGAAAACATAAACCCTTATACGATTAGTGAAACTCTCATTTAACAGTTTTATTTTATATTTACTATAATTTTTTTTTTTTAAACATGTTGACAAGGGTCGAATCGAACCCAAGCTCAAGGGAAAGGGGGAGTGCATCGTGAGTTGGCTAATGATACTTGGCCTGCAGGCTCGATGCTATATTTACTATAATTTAAATTGTAATAATTACAAAATATAAATCCTTTAACAATAATTGAGGAATGAACCTTTTTATATTAAAACTCTTTTTGTTTTTGAGTTTTATTTAATAGTGTGATATAATCTAAATTATAGAATAACATAATTTAATAAAAATTAAGATGTAGGGTTAATATGTTAACTTGATTGGGTGGCAAATTTTCTCTTCCTTCCACTTTGTTTCCCTTTTAAACCAAACGAGCTTTGGAGCTTGTTTGGTGAAACTTTAAGGAGTTTCATGCTTTTGACATTATTTATATTTTATAAATTAATTTTTTTTAAAAACTTATATTTTAAAATTTTTTTAATTTTAAAAAGACCTTAAACAGTAAAAGTTTAAAAGTTTTAAATCTAAACTTTTCATAAACTTATTTTTTTATTTATTTTTCATTCACTTTTTCTTATTGTAAAAGTAATTTTAAAATTTTTTTTCCAATAAAAATTTAAATTTATCACTTATAACAATATTCAAAAAGTAAAAGTTCTCACGAGCCACAACAAAAGGCCCGTTGACTGAAAGGACTAAAGAGTAACAACTTAAAAGTCTTGGAGATTAAAAATACTACTAATAAGTTGAAGAGTGAGGGATCGGATATTACTAACTTAAAAAGTTGGGGATGAAAAGGTTATTTACTACTTTTTGGGATATTATAAAGTTACCGGAACAATAATTTCCCTCATATGTTATGTTCGCATAGCACTGCACGGAGCCATGATTGCAGGAAACCCTAGCTAGAACCTTCAGTTTTTTTTCCTGAACGAATCAAACCGGCGACGGACATAGGCGACCGATCGGAAACCTAAGTTAGCTATGGCACTCTCGGAGGAAGAGTGCTCCGCAGCGAAGGCGTCTTCTTCATCTTCATCGTCTGCAACCCCACCAGCAGCAGCAGCGGCGGCGGCTCACGGTGCTCACTATCTGGCCAAGTGTGTGCTCAAAGGAAGTGTAGTTCTCCAGGTCGCTTATGGCCACCTCCGCTCTTCTTCTTCCCTTGACATCGTTTTCGGCAAGGTTCGCTCTCTTTTATTTTAGTTTCTTTCGGCAAATGCTGCCTTTGTTGTTCATTTTTTAATGATTTGTTGAAGAAAGAAGCAAATAAGCATGGTTGTTTGGTTGTGAATATAACGTGAAATCTGAACAATAAGATTTGATATGTCCATTAATGTGGGGAAGGAGATTGATAACATAAAGATGGCTACTGGCTTTGTTTTTATTGATGCAAAAAATGGAACTAAGTATATGTTATTTAAATCATTTTAACGACAGTTGCATTCAAATTGGTTTACATTTAATTTTAGTAATTTCTTGCTTCACAGTTTGTGTCATTAATTGAATTTATGATGTATGCCAATTATTCAGGTGGTTTATCTGACCCTAATCTGATGATGGTGTTTTATTTTAGGAGTCGTCCATAGAGTTGGTAATTATTGATGGAGATGGGATTTTACAATCCGTCTGTGAGCAGGCTGTATTTGGTATAATAAAGGATCTTGCTATTCTGCCTTGGAATGAGGAGCTCTATATGTGCCATTCACAGGTCTTTCTGGCAACTTTTGGTGAAAGTGTTTAGGAAATCTCTGGATATTGATTTACCTCTTTGAAATCTTTTTATTTGTTTTCTTAAGAAGAAGCAAAGATATGCATTAGGACTGTGCTAGCGGATTCTCTTGATTGAATTTTCTCCCCCCCTTTATTGTTTTAGATGCAGGGCAAGGACCTATTGGTTGTTATTTCTGATTCTGGGAAGCTTTCATTACTGTCATTTTGCAATGAAATGCACAGGTTTTTCCTCCTTCCCTACTTCAATCTTGCATATCAAAAGAAGATGTGGTGTAATTAATTGCTTCTACTGTTGACATTTTGTGATGCTTACTTCTTGCATGAATTATATTTGTCTTTGAGGTAGGTTTTTTCCAGTGGCACATGTTGAACTTTCCAATCCTGGAAATTCATTGCAGCAACTTGGCAGAATGCTTGCTGTTGATTCCAGGCAAGTTGCTTTTATAGCTGGGAATGATAGAAAAGTCTTTCCTTTTGATACTCCTGCTCTTTTGTTCTAGTCTTGTTTTTGCTTTAAAGTGTGATTCCCTTTTTGGTTTAAAGTCCTGAGGTGGCTAGAATAATTTTCAATGGCAAGAGAAGCCAATGAGTAGAAGTTATGGACTTGCATTAAATAGGTGTATATGATTTTATATAAATGTTTTATATATTTATATAATGTTATTCTCAAGAGTGCTGCCATTAAAGTAGCATGTCAGTTATAACTTCTTAGAGATCAAAGCTTTTTGTGTTGTCTTTGGGTGGTGGCTGAAATGGGAAAATAGTGACTTTGGGAGACAAATGGACCTTATAAGCCACTATTATCTAGTTAAACATGCCAATCAAGGTCAAGCAAGCTACTAATTTCTGGGTTCATTACTAGGTCCTCAATGCATGCCTAGTCTACTAGGTGCCTATATTTCACTATGCCATTCTATTTATTTATGTGTTTATTTTGTAAAATTCTTAGTTTTATGTAATGTATAAATTAAAGATCTTCTGTCACCTTTTACTTCTTGTTGCCTACTTCCCATATTTAGAAAATGCCTTTCTTTTACAATATATAAAGGTGTGACGTAATTTGTCTGGTTAATTATGGGGTAAGAAAGGATGCAAAGTTGAAGTTGGATAAGTTTCAATGTTGATGAATAATTATGGTCACAAACTATCTGTTAAGATCATACTATAGACATGTTTACTTGTGGGGTTAGAAAAGAGATTTATAGACACTGGAACGAAAAAGAAATTTAAACACTGGGAAAATTCTTGTACTTATTATTTAATTGTTTTTCATCAGATATTTTTATATGGTGCAGTAGCATTGCCAAGTAATTTGCTAGCAATTCAGCTGGCTTTCCAAATTTCTTATCTCCATGAGTGTATGTCAAAAATAAGATTTATCCACAAGTAAAGAAGAAATTGTGCAAAGTGGGTTGCTATTTTGTCCCTAACTTGTATTTGGATGCCCTTTTTCCCCTCAGTGGCCGTTTCATAGCTACTTCTGCCTATGAAGATCAGTTGGTGCTATTCTCTATTTCACTCTCTGCTGGCAGTCATATTGTTGATAAGGTAACCTTGCTTGTGAATTTTAGATTGATTTAATGTTTCTACAACCTTTGGGATGACTATCTTCTTTTTAAGTCACAAGCATTCTGTGTGAACAATTAAATGTTCTTAAATTAAGTTTTGAGATGTTCCTATCTGTGACTATGCAGAGAATTTATTATCCTCCTAAAAATGAAGAGAATACAAGTTCCACTGGAAGCATTCAAAGAACTGGGCTATGTGGTACCATATGGAGCATGTGTTTTATTTCAAATCATTCTAGTGGACAAAGTAATGAGTATAATCCTATATTAGCCATGGTTTTTAAGAGGTATAGCTGTATAATTATTTATGAAAAAAAGAAGAATTGTAATCTGTTATTTTTATAGATTGTTTTGAGATGAATGCAGATAGTATAACCAGGAGTCTTATTTTCTGGTGTTGCAGGAGAGGAGCTCTTCTGAATGAACTGCTGCTACTAGAATGGAGTATTACAGAGCAGACTGTTGATGTCATTTCTGAGTATCGTGAAGGTGGAGCACTAGCGCATAGTGTTGTTGAAGTTCCTCATTCTTGTGGATTTGTATTTCTGTTCAGGGTTGGTGATGTTCTCTTGATGGATCTAAGAGATGTGCAGAGCCCTTGTTGTGTCTATAGAACAACCTTAAACATTTTAACCCCAGCTCTAGAGCAACAGAATTTTGTTGAAGAGTCATGCAGAGCACATGATGTTGATGATGAAGGTTTATTTAATGTTGCTGCATGTGCTTTACTTCAATTGAGTGATTATGATCCCATGTGTATAGATGGTGACAATGGCAATGGGAAATCAACAATGAAATATGTATGCTCATGGAGTTGGGAACCAAAAAGTGATAAAAATTCAAGGATGATTCTTTGTCTTGATACTGGAGAACTTTTCATGATAGAGGTTTCTTTTGATTCTGATGGCCTAAAAGTCTCTTCATCTGATTGTCTATATAAAGCCCAACCTTGTAAGTCACTTTTGTGGGTAGAAGGAGGCTTTCTGGCTGCACTTATAGAAATGGGGGATGGTTTGATCCTGAAAGTGGAAAATGAGAGACTACAATATGCGAGTCCTATCCAAAATATAGCACCAATCTTGGACATGTCAATTGTGGATTACCATGATGAGAAACGTGATCAAATGTTTGCCTGTTCTGGGGTGGCACCAGAGGGGTCCTTAAGAATTATACGGAGTGGTATTAGTGTAGAAAAACTGGTGAAGACTGCTCCTATCTATCAAGGTATAACTGGGACTTGGACTGTTCGAATGAAAGTAACCGATTCATACCACTCTTTTCTTGTACTGTCGTTTGTTGAAGAGACTAGAATACTTTCTGTTGGATTAAGTTTTACTGATGTGACTGATTCGGTTGGTTTCCAACCAGATGTCTGTACTCTGGCATGTGGCCTTGTGGGGGATGGTCAGCTGGTTCAAATTCACCAAAATGCGATTAGGCTCTGTTTGCCTACTAAGGTTGCTCATCCTGAGGGTGTTCCTTTATCTTCTCCAGTTTGCACATCTTGGTCCCCACAAAATATGAGTATCAGTTTGGGGGCAGTTGGACATAATATGATAGCTGTCTCTACATCTAGTCCATGTTTTCTCTTTATACTTGGAGTCAGATCGTTATCAGCCTATCAATATGAAATATATGAAATGCTGAAGGTCAAACGCCCGTGTGAGTTGTCATGCATTTCAATACCTCAGAAGCATTTTGAGCAAAGGGGATCCAGTTCCCCCCTAAATCTGGTAGACAATAGCCGCAAAATTATCCGTCCTATTGGGGTGAATGTAGATGATACCTTTGTTATTGGCACACATATGCCTTCAGTGGAAATTCTATCATTCACACCTCCTAAAAGCCTAAGGGTTATAGCTTTTGGGAAAATTTCATTAACAAGTACCATGGGAACTGCTATCAGTGGTTGCATCCCTCAAGATGTAAGGCTAGTATTAGTTGATCAGTTCTATGTTCTTTCAGGATTGAGGAATGGGATGCTTCTCCGGTTTGAGTTGCCTCCTGCCTCGACTATTAATTCATCTGACGAACCCTGTCAACATCCCAGTAGACCACTTTCTAGAGATGCTGATGGGGTGGCATTGAATATATCTGCTACAAATTTGTCTCATTCAGCGATGTGTGCAGTTAATTGTTCTGAAAAAGTTGACCTTCCAATTACACTTCAGTTGATTGCCACTCGTAGAATTGGCATTACTCCTGTTTTCTTGGTTCCTCTTAGTGAGTCACTTGATGCAGACATTATTACCCTCAGTGATAGGCCGTGGCTGTTGCAAACAGCAAGACACAGTCTCTCTTATACTTCTATCTCATTTCAACCTTCAACACATGCAACCCCTGTATGTTCTGTTGAATGCCCTAAAGGAATTTTATTTGTTTCAGAAAACAGTCTACATTTGGTAAGAATCCTTTCTGCAGTTGTTTAGCTTCCATTGTGTTAATTTTATTGTTTTCATTCTGGTGTTTAATGATACTTTAACAGCATGTTAGTCTGGAGGAATGAGCATTCCTTCTCTATCTATAAGTAGCACTAAATCCCTCATTTGAGTCATGTGTGGCATTTCTATACTTAGGTATCTTATCTGAGTCCGAGGTTATGGTCTAAGTGATTTGATATATTTGTGGCAACCAGCTTGGCTTGTTTGATGCATGTTATCATTAAATTACTTTAGGTGGAGATGGTGCACACTAAGAGGCTTAACGTGCAGAAGTTTCATCTTGGAGGCACTCCTCGGAAGGTCCTTTATCACAGTGAAAGCAAGCTACTGGTTGTGATGAGGACTGATTTAAGTGATAGTTCTTGTTCTTCTGATATTTGTTGTGTAGATCCTGTTAGTGGGTCAGTGGTGTCCTCTTTTAAACTAGAACTTGGAGAAACAGGAAAATCCATGGAGTTGGTTAGGGTTGGAAATGACAAGGTTCTGGTGATTGGAACCAGTCTTTCTTCTGGTCCAGCTATAATGCCCAGTGGCGAAGCAGAAAGGTCTTTATTCTATTTCTTTTAAATTTATTTGAGTCTCTGTTCATCATCTTTTGAGATTGTAGTGTTGATGTTTTAGTCATTGCAAGAATGCATGCTGACTGGACCACTTCATAGTTTTCTACACAAATAAGGACTTAAAATAATTGTTTAGTTATATTTTTATTTTAAATATTATCTGTATACTATCTCAATGACTTATAGCTAACCTAATTTGCTGTAACAGCACCAAAGGCCGTCTCATTGTCCTCTGCATTGCGCAAATTCAAAACTCAGATAGCGGATCAATGACATTCTGTTCCAGGGCAGGATCATCATCTCAACGAACCTCACCATTCCGTGAAATTGTTGGGCATGCCATGGAACATCTATCAAGCAGTAGCATCTGCAGTAGCCCAGATGACAATAGTTGTGACGGAATCAAACTTGAGGAGACTGAAGCATGGCAGTTGCGGCTGGCTTACACAAATCAATGGCCTGGAATGGTGCTTGCAATCTGTCCATATCTAGATCGTTTCTTCTTAGCATCTGCTGGTAATGCTGTAAGTTGCAGATCACAATATATGCTTTTAAAATGTTCATCACATGGTTTATTAGTTTCTGAAGTGATTGATTTTATTAGTTTCTGAAGTAGTTGATTTTTCTTGTTCCAGTTTTTTGTTTGTGGTTTTCTAAATGATAATCCCCAAAGGGTGAGAAAGTTTGCTGGCAGCAGGACACGTTTCATGATTACATCATTGACTGCACTCGTTACCAGAATTGCTGTCAGTGATTGCCGTGATGGCATCCTTTTTTATTCATACCATGAGGTAAAAAGCAATAGCATATAACCTTGCAGATTTTCACACATCAACTTTGCTTGTAGTATTTACTGGTAGCAGTTACTTCATATGCTAACCCCTTTGCTAGCACGTATTCTAGCGCTAAACTTATTCACTCTGCTTTGTGCTAGGAAACCAAGAAACTGGATCAAATATTCTGTGACCCATCACAAAGGTTGGTTGCTGACTGTATTCTAATGGATGTTGATACTGCTATTGTTTCAGATCGCAAAGGAAGCATTGCTGTGTTGTCTTGTTCAGACCGTTCAGAAGGTAAGCCTTATTATTAGTAATTAGAAAGGGATACCATGTTGACCTAAAGAGGGGTGGAAGTCAGGTTAAAATCTTAGCTACTTTAGTTGTTGAGCTTTAAGTTCATGTTTGGTTGGGGAAACGGTTATTTCTTGGTGAAACCATAAAAAAAAAAAAAGGCAAAAATATGAACCTTACTTGACAAGTTAGGAACAAAAAGGGATTGAGGTTTATCATTTTCTTCTAATTTAGGAAAAGAGCAATGGATAGCTATTACCACATTCCCCCTAAGAATGACTATTCCTTGCTCCTTCCCTAATCTAAAAGAAAATGTTAAACCTTAATCCAACTCCAATGCTATGCTGTTAAGTACGTTTCTTATTTTTGCCTTGTTTAATGGTTTGACAAAGGAGTAGAGCCATTCTTCCAACCAAAGGAGCCCTAAGTGATTTGAATTGGATCTGTTTATATGGCTTTTAAAATGCCTAGTATCTAGGCAAAAGGAAACAACAGCCAGCTCAACTCAGTTTGACTTAAAACTTATACCTAGTTAGGTGGGGTCTTCTACATTAATCCTTTCTCTTCATTATTATGTCTGATAAAGGATTGTTTGAATATCTAAAAGAGCTAAGTCCTCTATTATTGTTTCAGTACAGCAAGCCTTTGGTCTAGCTATACTACTCACTCTTTCTACCTAAACAAAATCACTGTTATGCTCCAGCTCATCCACAGGTTTTAGTCACATTTGTCAAACAATTCAAACCTTCTCAGGTTGTCTATGTCTTCATGATTGAGTTTGGTAGGGCCGTAGCCACCCATGATGCAATTTAGTTTACATGATTCAGAAAATGAAGAGAACAAATAGTTTAAGTATGCTATAATTACATTTATTTGAGTGTATTTCACTCCTAATTTGTCCTTCATTTGTTTATATATTTTTGCTGTAAAAAGAAAATGTTAATTTTCTTATACTTTGGTTCATCTATTCCAGATAATGAAAGTCCAGAATGCAACTTAACATTGAGTTGTGCATATTATATGGGTGAGATTGCCATGAGGATCAAGAAGGCAAGTTCTCTCACGCTTTATGTTAACCTTTATGGAGGCATTTGGTAATTATATATGACAGTTCTTTTAAGTCCTGCTAGTTATTTTGTCATCAAGTACGTTATAATTGATTTGGTGGAGTTTGCAAAATTGTCCTTGGTCTGCTTGTTCATGGAGAGTAGAATGTATTTTATCTTCTTCTAATATTCAGGGTATTCTGTTTATTAGTTACAACATCTTTGTGATCCTATATTATAGATTAAAAATTAGCTATGATAATGGTTTAATGATGAGATCCCAAGGGCTTAGTGCATGCAGATGTTAAAAGAAACAGAGTTGGGATGAAAAACATTAAAGAAGTCACTATGGTGAAGGCTTTTATGCATTATCTTGGGATCCATGTAACAACTTCGTAGTGATAGCTGAAGTATTTTTAGTATATATGATATGCTATTGCTTAATCATTTGTAAGGGTTGGAGTATCACCTTACTCTAAATGAATATATTTGCTTTTGCTGATAAAAAAAATATTTTTAGTTTACGTTCTGGTTAATGTAGTTCTGGAATAACACATGAAATGCAATCAGCTCTATTATAAATGGCATTGGCATCTGTCCCTTTCTTGACGTCCCAAAGAGAATGCTCATTTTATCTCTCTATTATGAGTCATAGCCAGTTCTGCTAGTTTTATATGGTCAATTCTTTGAGAGGATAGTTGTGGGAAGAATAAAATGAAAATTTTTAAATATCTAAAATTTCATGGATTCTGAAAGTAGTAAATGGTTATGGAGAAAAAGAATATGTGTTTTACCTTTCAAGCTTTCTGGAAGATTCTTCATTTGATGCTGGAAAACTATGCATTTTATTTTCTCGTTGTTATGAGATATATGAGTTAAAAGCATTGGTATAGTTTTCTCAGGGAACTTTTTTGGTCTAGAAATGGTCTTATTTGGTATTCTGGTTGTGTGTTTTATGATATGTCATCTCTGATCTTCTTGAAGGCCTCTTATCTAAGACCATGCCCCTGATATATGAAAATGAAGTTTAAATTTGCTGTGTTTCCGTCTTTTGTAGGCTCTAGTAATTGTTATGCTATTCATGCCACTGGGGAAACTCATTCGGTGTTTAAATGCTTAATAAAACATATAAAGTAGAGTGGTATTCTTTGAAAAAAATTTTCAAAGCTTCACAAAACATGTGATCAGTTTTGCACTTCTTTATTTGTGTTGTGCTTAATTTCCTGATATGTTGCGCACATATTTTGTAGGGTTCATTTATTTTCAAACTCTCAGCTGAAGATGTGTTGAAGGGCTGTGATGGCCATAATGTGAATATTGACTCTTCAAATACTACTATAATTGCTAGCACACTCCTGGGAAGTGTAATGATATTTGTTCCCTTAACAAGGTATGGATCAATGTTTTTGGGTAAATGAATTGTCTTTCATTTATTATCCTTTTGCTTGGAATTTTCTTTTATAATACTAGATGATGATAGGTAAAGTGTGGGTAGTAGTAGTACTAGGATGATTGGGGAAGTGGATGGCCATGTGTAAAATTTTCTGTGAAAAGAAAATCACTGAAGAATACACTATGTAGGGGTGAGAAGCAACAAATGAGAAGTCTGAGAGATTTTCACAGTTTTGTGAGTGGTCATCCTTCAACAGGAAGATGGCATGAGTGCCTGAGCAAGTGGGAATGAGACGACGTGGGATATTAGCATGGTGAGATGTGGTAAAAGCAAATAATTAACAATATATTTGAGGTTGCTGTGTTTCAAAGATGTGCATTTTTTTACCAGAAAGTTTACAGAAATAAAAATGCTCATGATAAACAGCTGGACTTAGTGAAGTGCAATTTGGCTCCATTAAGTTAAATCTTTTTAAAAATTAAAACATCTCATCTGTCCAGGACAGATTTGGGATGTTGCTGTAATTTACATGGTTAGTTCTGTACGTAGTTTCTGGGTCTGCAAGCTTGTGGTGTTGCAGATGGCATGTTGCTTGCTTGATTTAGATCATTGCTTATCCTGTAACTTGCCAGTTACAGCCCATGTAGCCACAGTTGCCATACATGTGTTCCTAAAGTGAAGGACAGGATTTACATATAAATGAAATGGAAACAATTGATTACTACACTGATAGTGATTTCATGAAATTAAGGCAAACCAAATAAGTGAATAAACAAATTCTCATGTCCAGAGGAGTTTTTCGATACAACCCTTTATGTGAATAATGATTGCTTTTGTTTGGGGTGTTTGATTTATCATGCTTTTGTAGGGAAGAACATGAACTCTTGGAAGCTGTCCAGGCAAGACTTGCTGTCCATCCCCTAACTGCTCCAATACTAGGCAATGATCATAATGAGTTCCGTGGGCGTGAAAATCCAGTAAGTAGAACTTCTTAAAGAGATCCAATTTGAGCATCAGAAGAACATCTATTTATTTACCTTGCATAGTTCTGAAATCTTCCACAATAATTTGAAGGTCTGAACTACGGATGTAGTGCTTATGTTTGGCAACAAAATTAATGAAGCCTAGGAAAACGTTGAGTTGAATTCAAATATTTGTGTTTTCCCCTCTTTTGGGAAGGATGAACAAGCTTTTTGTGTTCCTTGTCATGTTGATGGTATTATGGTGGTAGTTTTTTTTTTTTTTCGTCATTTTTGTTGGATGGAGGATTATGATGGGGCTGTATGTTATAGTGTTTAATTGTGAATGGCTACCTTGATTTTTAAATTCAAAATAAATAAAGCTGCTTATTAGTAACAAGGTTTGTTGACAATATGTAGAAAGAATTTAAGATTGAACAGCAGGTCTTCATTTTGGGATGATCTAATGAAATTTGGTGTTTCTATTCAACTAGTGGTATCAATCACAGAAGTCCAGTGCTTTATTTCATATTTTGGTGTTCCCTATGGTCATATTTAATCTAAATTTCAGCTGGAAAATGTAATTTGAGGATTTGATCTTCCCTATGGAAGTTTGTAAGAGTAGTGCTATTCATGTATCTTTGCTTGTTTGCTTATTTGATTGCAGGCTGGGGTACCAAAGATGCTTGATGGTGACATGCTAGCTCAGTTTCTAGAGCTTACAAGCATACAACAAGAGGAAATATTGTCATTCCCTGTTGACTCACCCAATACACATAAGTTGAGGTCAAAGCAATTTCCATCACCTACCCCTGTCAACCAAGTGGTACAACTCCTTGAGCGGCTACATTATGCCTTAAGTTAAATCTTACCCCATCCAAACTTCTGTCTTGTGAGGCAACAAACCGGGTATGGGACTGGACAAATTCCTCAGGTGGTGATTTCACTGGAACTGAATTGTTAACCCAAGTCCCTCCCTCAAGATCAGTTGTTGTCGTTGATATAAAGATATAGTCAAAAGATGACAACTGTCAATACCTTTAACAATCAAAGTAGCCTTCCACAAATTCAGATTCATTTACAGAGGCAACATCTGCAGATCTAATAAGTACAGGACGAAATAGGGTGGGGCTGTCATCCTTTTCAATGTAAATTTTTTTCTTGTACAATAGTGACACACTCAATGTTCGACTATGAAGTTATATGTGTTGTAATGAGAGGGCCCTTTTTTTAAACTGCCCCTTTATGCTTTCCCCTTTGTGGGTGGCCTAGTAAGCTATGTTACTTTTGTGCATGAAAGCGGTAATCAATCTTGAATCTCTGTTTTGGCATTGTATTTTTTCATGTAGCTTGTTTGAATACTCACCCAAGACTCAGTTTTGTTGTTCTTTTGATAATCACCCAAGGTACGCAGATTGTGATGGAAGGTTCAAAGCTATTTTCCTTCATTACTTTACAGGGAGTCGGGTTTCGTTTGTAGTTGATATCTTGCCATACTTGCCAGTTAAGATTGTTTAAATGTGGAGCAAACAGGTTGAGGATTGCCGTCAAGACTAGGGCAAACAGAGAAGTGAGAAGCTTTACGAGGCGGCTCCTACATTTCTTTTCGTATTCAATGCAATACCGTACTTTGCGCATCGTGGACGTTTAGTAACGAGTAAGCTTTCTAAGTCGGAACTTTTGTTAGGCTCCATTTAAATTAGAAAGAGGCTCGTATCGTCTGACCGTCTTAAGGGTTTGAATACTTTCTCATAAATTTTAATTTGAGTACCCATAGATTGCAAAATGGGAATAATTGAAAGGAGAGGATAGTTTTCATAAAAAAAAAAAAAAAAATTAAATTGTCTAATTCAGATTATATAACATTCTTTTATTTTAATTTATCCTACTCAAGTGACACAAAATGACAATTTGAAAAGCGGTTGAAGATAAAAACTGAAAGGTGCCAATTCTGTACCCTCCCAACAGAAAGATTATTAACTCAAAATGATTGCCTTGAGGGGATTGGCAAATGACTAAAGCAAACATCGTATTTATTTTTTGGGTTTTTAGGGTGGCTGGTGGGGGGGGGGGGGTCGGGGGAGAGGAGAGTGGTGTTTCTACTTTCTAATTGAGAGATTCTTCCTTAACCTAACTTGAAAGCCTCATAATATGAAGAACTAGAACACTATATAGCTTTAGCTTGTGAGTTTGAGGTGGTATTATGTATGTATTAGACTGTGAATTCCTGATAGTCTCCTCTCTGGACATGATTGTGGAATAGATGGAAGATAGGATTATCTCTTATTTTATGTCTCAAAGTTTTATCAAGTATGTAAATTAGATTTCATTCTTTCTAATATCTGTCTTAAAAGCATAAAATAAGAATATTTTTTTTTATCATAAATATATATAAAAAGATATAAAAATTAATATTAATTTTAATATTAATATTAAATGAATGAATTTAATTAGATAATTAATAAATTAAAAATTAATTTTTATTTTTTAATATAAATTTATAATAAAAAATAT